TTCCCTTGACTTCATGGGTTTCTAGCAAGGACATGCTGGATTTATAAGAAAAGCTTAATATGCTGTGGCACCTGAGTCTCTTTTTATGGTTTTATACCACTATTGAGAAATAATGTACACAAATATTTTTATACTAATGTTTTTATTTAGGAAAATGTTAATTTGTTCACTTAGGAGAATGTTAACATGACTTTGTTGGTTCATAAATCTAACTTAATGACGGTAAGGCAACATCCTCAACTAAGTGGAAAAGCTGAGTGAGCCTGGCCTTTCTGAAAGCTTTCTTTGCCTCTTATTATCTAGCATCCCAAAGAACGGTTTTACCTCATTGGCACATGGCAGATGGCCCTAAAATAAATCTCATTAGAGTTTGAAATTATTCTTCTTCAATACACCACTGTATATTCAGTCCCTAGCTTAATGCCTGGCTCTGAACTATACTGTTTAAATAGTGAATGAATGAAAAAATATATGAATATTTGTTAGATAAATACTAAGTGAACAAGCCAATTCATTAGTTCATAGATTGTGAAGTTCTTGGTCTTTTGTTAAAACATCACTGATAAAATAAGTAGATATATTGTATAAGCATATCTGAATTATTATAGGAACTATACTCCATGCAAATTTCTCAAGTCCTCACATTCTCACATACTACAGCAGCAACATACTTCTGACCATACTCGATGGAAGAAAACACCATTGTATAGGTTGGTGGTAGCATCATTTCCTTTAACATATTTTATAAACTGACTTAGAATTGCCACACAATTTTTTATTAGGATCTTGAAAAGTTAACTCAACATTAATGATTGCATTTGGAAGTACTATTCAAATTTGGTTTAAAGTAGTTTTAGTTCATCTTCCTTTATATATTCTACCCTTTTAAAAAAATTTAAATTCAATTAGCCAACATACAGTACATCATTAGTTTCTGATGTAGTGTTCAGTGATTCATTAGTTGCATATAACATCCAGTGCTCATCACATCACGTGCCCTCCTTAATGCCTATCACCCAGTTACCCCATCCCCCCAACCACCTCCCCTTCCACGACCCTCAGTTTGTTTCCCAGAACCAAGAGTCTCTCATAGTTTGTCTCCCTCTCTGATTTCTTCCCATTCAGTTTTCCCTCCCTTCCTCTATGATCCTCTGCGCTATTTCTTATGTTCCACATATGAATGAAACCATATGATAATTGTCTTTCTCTGCTTGACTTATTTCACTTAGCATAATTCCCTCCAGTTCCATCCAGGTTGCTGTACATGGTGGGTATTCATCCTTTCTGATGGCTGAGTAATATTCCATTGTATATATATACACCACATCTTCTTTATCCATTCATCTGTTGAAGGGCATCTCGGCTCCTTCCACTGTTTGACTATTGTGGATATTGCTGGTGCTCCTTCTTTCACTACATCTGTATCTTTGGGGTAAATACCCAGTAGTGCAATTGCTGGGTCCTAGGGTAGCTCTATTTTTAACTTCTTGAGGAACCTCCACCCTGTTTTCCAGAGTGGCTGTACCAGCTTTTATATATTCTAGCCTTAAATAGTCAGGACTAAGTATTAAACTAGATGCCAGGTCATGATCTCAGGGTCCTAGGTTTGAGCCCTGCATCAGGCTCCATGCTCAGCACAGAGTCTGCTTGTCCCTTTCCCTTTGCTCCTCCTCCTCTCTCTCTCAAATAAATAAATAAAACCTTTTAAAAAAAAATAAAGCAGATGCCAATGTATGACACAAAAATAAGATTGGCTGGTCCATAGAAAAACAAGTTAAAACTTCTAGTTCCATGTTTACACTTATTCATCCCACTAATTAAATACAAAAACCCTGAACATGGTACATAAAACAAGTATAAGAAGACTCTGAAAGGCAGGGAGAAGAAGGATCCAAAGGGACCACAGGGATAGAAGAACAACCCACAGTGATAAATTCCCTGGCTTTCTTCTTTCCTCCTAAGTATCTCAGAGTAGGTACTGGAGAAATCCACAACCCAGAAATGCCAATGGACACAAACAAACAAAAAAGTCTCAAGGAAATTCTGCTCTCCCTAGCCAGAGAACTGAGAAATGGGCAAACTGGCAGGACAGGAATCTTAATTAACAATACCCACCCTACTCCAGCCATATACCCCTGGGAAAAGGGAAAGAAAAAAAAAAAAAAAGAAGTAGCCTTGCTATCTCTGTCAATAAAGGTCAAATGAGAAGCCACCCTCATCAAGCAGTAACGAGGCACCCCTTCACACACCCTTTAATGCAGTGCCAGTAAGGGTCAAGTTAGGAGCTAAAACTCCTATCCCTTCCTGGCAGTAATGATCTGACCTTCTCCCTTAGGCATGATGTCATCAGAGATCTGTTAAAATAAAAGATTTAAATAAGATCCAATGTCCAGGAGACACCTGAACATCACTCATCACACCCAAAACAAAGAAAATCTCAACTTGAAGGAGAAATTGTAATTAAAAAATGCCACCACCCAGATAATAATGCACATGTCAGAATTACTTGACAAAGATTTTATTTTATTTTAAGTAGTTCTCTTTGCCCAATATGAGGCTCAAACTCACAACCCTTACAACCCTCTTCAGATCAGAGCTGCATACTGTACCAACTGAGCTAGCCAGGCACCCCTTAACGAAGATTTTAAAGTAGCCATGATTAAAATGCTCCAATGAATGATTATGAATGATATTGAAACAAATAAATAGGTGATATAAAGAAAAATCAAATGGCAATTTTAGAACTGAAAATCATAAAAACCAAAATAAAAAACTCAATGCATGGCTTCAATATCAAGGGTGACAGATGAAAGAGGAAAGAATCAGTGAAGTTGAAGACAGAACAATAGAAATTACCCAGTTTTAACAACAGAGATAAAACAGGCTAAAAAAAATAAAACGAACAGAGCCTCAGGGACCTCAGGACAACACTAAAAAAAATCTAACATTCATGAAAATAAGAGTTCCAGAATGAGAGGAACAAGAAAAGTGGGGCTGAAAAAAGTATTTAAAAAAAAATAATGACCAAAATTCCTCAATTTGAAAAACAGCACAAACCTAGAGTTTCAAGAAGCTTAGAGAATCCCAAACAGGATAAACCAAAAGAAATCCATGCAAAGATATATCATAATTAAACTTCTGAAAAGTAAAGACAAACGAAAATGACGGAAAGCAGCTAAAGAGAAGGATGCATTCCCTTTATGGGAACAACAACTCAAATAACAATGTATTTTTCATCAGAAACCACAGAAGTGGCAGGCATATTATTCAAGTTCTAAAGAAAAAGGTTGCTAACCTAGAAATCTCTAATCAGTGAAAACATTCTTCTGGAATGAAGCTGAAATGAAGACATTTTAAATAAAGGAAATTTAGAGGATTTGTTCCTAGCCAACTTACCCTAAACAAAAGTCTAAAAGAAAGCTCTTCAAACAGAAAGAAAATGACTAAAAAAAAAAAAAAAAAAATGAGAGAGGGAGAACTTGGAAGGTCAGAAGTGAATAACAATGGAAAGGTTAAAAATATCCTTCTTTTGAGTTTTAAAATTGTTTGACAGCTGAAGCAAAAATTATAACATCATCTAATGAATTTCTCAGTGTTCAAAATCAGTAAATCTATAGACACAGAACGTAGCTTACTGGTCATCTAAGGAAGGGAGGGCGGTGGTAGAATTGGGCTAAGTGATGCAGGGTTTTGGGGAGCGGATAAATGAAAATGTTCTAAAATTTAGTGTGATGATGGACATAACTCTTTGAATATACTAAAACCCACTGAATTATTCACTTTATATGGTGAATTATATTTCAATAAAGCTATTTAAAATTGTCAGGGATTATTTCTGGACAAATCTAGAAATAAGTTTTAAGATAAGAGACATTATTAACATCAGATTTAGCACTAATAGAGTACAGTGTACTTTAAGAGGTAATTGGAAGTACACATTATAATCTGATATATCATTTTCTCAAAAGTTTATCATTACATGGAAAAGGTATAATCTAAAGTTACATGTGTTATCATGTAATATATAAAGATTCTGATTTACAGCTAAAAAAATTCAATGATATTTGATTATATTATGCCACATGATGCCAGTCATCTAGTCATCTCAAAGACATCAGGTTTTCAAAAAAAATTGCAGGGTGTGGACGTCAAAAATTAGCTCTAAATGAAGAAATAGTTAAGTAGCAAAAGAGGCTAATTATGTTGGTCTAAGTCCTTTATATTTCAAAAAAAATGTGTTCTTTCTTTGCCAAGCTGAATGTAACAGCCTGTGAATTATAAGATCAAGGAAGAAAACTGTATGTTTTCTAAAATATGAGTATCCTTCATCAAGTTTTATACTTAGGGCAGCTAAAAGACCTATGTGGAGGGATCAGCATTAAGCCCAAAGGACAGGCAGTGCACAGCAGGAAAGAAAGCAATTCCTGTGTGTCTTTTGCAGGTCACTACCAAGGACCATGTTAGCAGATCCATACCAGACCCTTAACAGGCAGTTCTGCTGCTACCAGTAATTAGCTTGGACAGCTCTGGCTCCAAGAGTAGCAGCAAGGCTACACCATAATGAGCTCAGCTGGGATTAGCAGGACAGGGCAGGGAACCAAGAGAGCTCAGGCATTCTGCATTGCGTATGTATCTAGGAGATCAAACAAGGATGGCTGGCTGGGTTATCCCCTCTCCACCTCATTCCAGAAATGAAGCACGGCAGTGTCTAAAATACAGGCTAATGAAGAGCGACACCTCCAACAGATGAGAGCCACATTAATTAACACAATCCCTAGATCATATTCTACAGTTTCGGCTAGAGCTAGCAAATGTGCAACTTGTTATTGTATTATACATACATATATATATATATATATATGCCCTTTTTAATTTTTATTAACAAAAACCAGATTATTTCATTTTCAAATTTTATAAGCTATTTCTCTCATGACCTTTAAGCTACAAAATATTTCTCCTAAATGTTTATGTAAGTCCATACTGTTAAAAGAGAAACTCACTTTTGAATCATTAGCTCCTGGTTCTCCCTTTTGAAATAGGCCAGTTCGTTCCATACAGCATCAGAATCTTCTTGTCGAAGTTGTTGGGGATCCACTCTCTTTATTTTTCTGATATAAGTCCTATTTTTAAAATGAAGTTGTTTTCTTCCTTAATATGTTCAAAGTGCAATGAAAATTCATTTATACATTCCCTAATTCAAGCCCACTATTTACAGAATGAATTTCCTAAAACCTAAGTGTATAGAAATTAAAATCCTATGTCATAATTTCCAAAAGGCTAAACTGCTACTGTGGAAAGCAAACTTTTAGGCAGACATATGACAGTCTTAGGTCGATTTCTCTGATTCATTCTAGTGATAATAAAACATATATTGCAGGATGGTCAGTTTCTCAAAAAGGATTATAAACAATCAACTCATCGAGAATTTGTTGTCAACCAATCTGAATGTAGTATATGTGCTTGATCTTAAAACACGCTATTATCAGTAAATATGTCAGAAAGTAGTTTTCACACTTCCAGTGACTACTAAAGTTAGGTGAGCAGAGGCTAAATGTAGGACAAATTGCTTTATCACTACTTTACTGACAAGTGATATGAAACACTTCCCATCCTTCAAAGGAAAAAATTAGACGTGACAATTACCTACAAAACATGCCAAATGCCCTTTATGTTTTCATTTTCTGTACATAAAACAAACTCTTCGTTTTTATTTTGTAAAAGTGCTGTACTGGCCAATTTAGAAACAGTATTTCTCTATAGAACAGACCAATGTGTATCATCAACATTGCCCTAAAGGATCCATCTCAAAAGATGAGAGGGTAGTAGATTTTCTGTACTCATTCAGTCCTTTGCCCTCTGTTGATACTGTTAACAAGGGAGCCACTTACGACTAACCAAGATCTGAACACCTGTTCAGAGCAATTGAACTGAGACCGCCAATTCATTCAGATAAGCTGCAGAACAAACTGATGGATAGTAAAGATTTTCAAATTGCATACTAGGTTGAAGTAGTTTTCAGAGAGTTAACTATATATGTAAATTTCCTATTTCTTTTGTCTTTCAATTAAAACTTAAATACTGTTTGAGTTACAAACTTTGTAATACCATTATTTTATTTATTTAATTTTTTCAATCATATGGATATGCACTATTTTTGCATTAAGTTATCTACTTTTATTAAGCTACTCTATTGATAGTGAAAATGTACATAGTCTGCATGGAGCACTGGGTGTTATACGCAAACAATGAATCATGGAACACTACATCAAAAACTAATGATGTAATGTATGGTGATTAACATAACATAATAAAATAAAATAAAAAAAAGAAAATGTACATAGTAATTCATAATCACCTACATTATGAATTCTGCAAATGATAGGAAAATCTATAGTTATTGCTAGTCTATTTATCTGTTTTCATTTATTATATTATCTATTTAAAAATTCACAATAAAGATTTGAATACCAAATAATATCTTTAAAATCAAACAAAAGCCATTAAAACACCTATATGATGCTACTCCATTCCATTTAATATTTAGGGAAATGCCTTTATGAGCAATGTAACTCACATGCCACTGCCTTCTTCCCACTGTTTTAATTGCTCTTTTACTGCTCTGTAGTTGGTCTGTAACATCTGTAGCCTTTCCTTGCGTTTTTCATGGGCATCTCTTAGCTCATCATTTTCTTGGCTCTGTAGAACACAAAAAGGCAAGTACACAAGTTTAAAGAAAGTATTAGTATAATGCTGCAAATAAAAGGTTACTCATCTAAATATGAAATTTGAAAGAAAATAGGAAATATAAACTAATTTGTAATACTTATTTAAGCAGAAGAAAAGGATTCTTAAAGTCACAAAATAGGTTTGCTTGCTAAATTCAACCCATTTACTTCATTTTTAAGCTGCTAGTAATTTCAAAATTAGTTTCATTCCTTTCCCTGTTGTCAGTTAGTACACATACAAATATTTATGAGCCAATTTTACAGAATTTTTTCTCTTTCCACAAAAGGATTTGTCCATACATAACACATTTTGTTATTTTGTTAATTATAATTACATATGTAATTAGTGTAAAAACACTAATCATAGTAAGATCAATGCTTCTACCCATGGGTTCACAATTAGTTTAATATAAAGCAAAAGGATTACGTAGGAGGAAAAAATCAGTTTGGACCTATGTCTGAAGTAGCAGAGTTTAACCTTCTGGGTTGTACTATACAGAATTGAAATGTGAGAGCTGGGCTTTGTATTCTTGAAGAGGTCATAAAAACATTACTAGGTTAGACAAAGTCAACAACTTCTACATGTTCTAAATAGAGTACATGAAATACGTCTTCATTTTTAGATATACCCACAAAATGAACTTATAAAGGCCAAATTTTCAGTTCTTAGGGGATGTATTTATATTACTTATACACTGTGTTTCTCAAAGTAAAGTAAGTAACTTCTTGAGTATTTTTAGCCATTGTGAATTTCAAATTTGTTTTTTAAAACTTTATATTTCTATATGAAGGAACTTGTATACTTATTTAATGGAGGCAACAGGTAGGTACTCTGTAATATTATAGTGAGGTGACATGAGTAGGCTCATGGCAGTTAGAAAAATCTGAATTCTATTCTTGGAGCTCTTTCATGTTAGCAGCATAATCTTAAGAACACCATTTAAATTAATTCAATTTTTTTTTTAAATGTGGAAAAGAGCATAGAGATTTAAATTATGATGACTAAATTAAATGAGCGAATATACAGGTAAAGCCCCTGGTACTGTGCTTGCCCTATCGAGGCACAAAGCAAAAGTTAGCTTCCTTCGTTTTCCCCTTCCCAGGTATTAACTGATGTCCTTATTATTAAGAAGCCAAATTCACAGTTTCCTGGACCATCTACCTCTCATTTCAACTGTAACATAATACAGAGTTTGTATTATTTTACTGCAATTCTACCTGTCTCAATAATATGGATATTTTTTCATTCTACTTTGAATATAGGCCTAGTAGAATAACTTCAATAAATCTCTTAAGCAGTTATTAGGAAGTATTTGAGTCCTGTGCACCAAGCCGTCTGTATGCCATCTGGAAATGGAAGTGCATGATGAAAAAGCATGGGAATGGCATCACTTGAAAGGGACAATCAGAATAAATGTTATCCTGAGAGTTTTAGAAGATATACAGATCACAGACACTACAAACTTGCTAAAGAGTAGCATGGTTTAATACCATGGTTAAAAATTCAGGATACTGTATTGAATTTTGTTCACTTCAATTAAAGAACCATATATTAAGAGCCTATTACATGCAGAGTGTTAAGTACTGATAAGAGTTCAAGTCTTGCTGCTCAAAGTTAGTAAATTTTATCTTGACATAGCTACTTAAATTCAGCATGTACCAGTTTCTCCATCTTCAAAATAAAAGCTGTTTATATCTCTCTTCTTCTAAGACCAATGAATGATTTAACCTTGACCTTGAGTTTTCCCTACTCTTGTTAAAAATCCAAATATAACTTCACTTCTTTAAACAATAAGCTTTCTAATCCTAAATATACGAAATAATTTAAATTAACCAAATAGAAAAGTAATTAATAATGTTCTTACCTTCTCATAAATGAACATAAGTTCATTATGTTTATTAGGATTCCTTAAGAACTAATAAGATTTATTAGGATTTTAAACAGGATATATTACAAATTATTAATAATCTAATTATGAGAAATGTATAGGTACTAGAAAAGATTTGTGTCAAAACACAATTTTCAAATAGAGTTAAGTGCTTTGTTAAATTCTAATAACTTTCTCTAATTATTCATCATTGAATCAAATTCCTTCCCCATAAACTCTTAGTTTACAATGAATTTCTTTAAAATTATTAATACAAATGCAGTGTTTTGGAATCATAAAAGTCTGTGTTAAGAGTCCCTAGAACCTGAGTAAATAGAACCTAAAAAATTGCCGAAAGTAAAAATTAATAAAATGGGATATCCAGATTTTTTTCTGTTGCCTTTCACAAAAATTCTCTGTTAAATCACTGGAACAAATTGAGTTTCTTATTGTTAGTACTGTCATTATTTTAGCATTTTTCAGTACTGCTTCAGCTACCATTAATCATTGAATTTATACCCAAGGTTTTCGTTAGTTCTCAAATAGAAATCAACTTAGCTTATGCTATTAAACCAAAGATTAAGACTCAATAAAAACTTCCTGAGTCCTATACGTCACTCACAATGTGCCAGGCTCTGTACTAGGCACAGTACTTAACCAAAGCACTCAAAGCACCTCTGCTTCCTAAAACTTCAGTGTAATAAATATATTTATATTAGCAAATGGTTTTGATTTTGCTATAGTAATTGAAATAGGTGGTCCCTCCATTAGGCAGTGATTATAGCAAAGCAGTTTTATAGATGAGCTTTCTGCTTTAATTTTACATGCTTCACAATTTACTATGCCTAATGCTAGAGTGTTTACATATTTCTTATAAAATTACTAAGATCTAAACTATTAAAAATGAAAGTAAACTAGAGATTATTTGACAAATCAATTTGATAGACATAGTTTATAATAATTATTTTTAAATGTCCTTTCTGAATGCTTTTATCAAATTGTAATACATGGGTTAAATTAGTCTCAGAGACTATTGTTCTTTGGCTTACTTCAGAAATAGACAAAATTTTATAGAAATGTAAATATAAGATAGATAATATATGTCCAAAGAGAAACATTTTTCCTTATTCTAGTGCAAGAACAGATTTAGCAGAAGTCTTCAGGCAAAAGTCAGATATCTCAAAAGAAATGTTTAATGTGTAAAAAGAATAATCAGAAAATTTTTCATAATATTCTAACAAATATAAGTTAGCCATAGTGTGGATTATGATTCTTTAAGTCCCATAGAACAGCCTAAGTCAAAACAGTAGTACTTCATTTGGGAAATACTACCATACCCAAAAATCTTACAACAAAATCAGAAGTAAAAACTTAAAGATACATTTAATATCACTAATAACTACATTTGCCCAAGAAGATACACACAAAAATATCACAAGGGCAGTCACTGAATTAGGTCCATTTATTAAATCATTCAATAAAACATTTACTGACTACCTTCCCTATATTTTGCAATTAAACTAGTTAAACTAGAGGCTCTAATTTCTGTATACAAACAAATCTGAATGACTAAAACACTAGAAAATAGAAAGGCTGTATCATCTGGCTTGCCTCAATGATACTTGCAAGTCCATTTATGAGTTCATAAGAACAAAAATGATTCTTGGTCTAATCTACTACAGTTTGGTCAAAGGCTCCTTGACAGGCACAGGCAAACTAAGAGCATGAGTCCTGTTAATAAAACAGTGGCTCAATCTTCATAGAATGATAGCAAAGTTTTTAAAAAGTTAAAATAAAATTTTATTAAATACCAAGGATCCCATGGATGTTTAATTTCAGTAGAGTATATAAAGCTGAATGTATGAAGAATGCATATTAGACATTGAAAAATAAAAGACATATAAACTGTATTCAAAGGACATATTGACGTTACTAAACAGTATAGAAAAGAGCTAACAGAACTAAGGTGTCAAATGCATTAAAGTTCATAAAGCAGAGATTCACGGCATTAGTGATCCCAAGGACAGTAAAGGATTTCATAAAGCTCTGATGCATTGATTTCCAAATTATACTTTATAAACTGTTAGTCCACTATACTTATGAAGTTAGGATTTGGAAATGGGTGGGATTTTTAGAATAATAGTTTTCATCTCTTCTATTACTACTGGCCATCCATCTTGAAAACGTACAACTATTTACAAAAGTAAGCTAAGCAAGGTTATGTATTAATATTTCTACAAAATTCATTACTAGTATTAGAATAATGTGCATTACTTACTGCTGATATAATAAAGACTATCATCTCAATATATCAGTGTGTGCCTACATATATTCCATGGTGGAGGTTATCTGGTGAAGCTTATTTGTCCCTCTCTCCCGTCAGTCCCCCTTGGTTGATCAACTTGGGACCGAAAGCTATCTACTGTGCCATGGAGCATGTGTTTACTGTAGTGTTTTCAACAGTGACTTCCATGGAACAGAAGTCTTTGGGAAACGTTAATGGGTATAATATAATCAAGTAAATCTGGGAAATAAGGTATCTATACCTTGCTATAGATTCACAACGTACATTGATGTCTTAACAGCTCACAAAAAAATGAAAGATTTTAATCCACTGCCTATGATAATTGAACAGAGAACATTTTTCTCTGCCATTTTCCCATTAGTTTCTGTCAGAGCAGTGTTCAATATAATACCAATATGGGAAAAGCCGTGACAAAAATTCCACATGTATTAATGGGTTATGGTCTACAAATGGAGCACCATGATCAACAAATGCCTATTAAAAACCATAAGACACTGTTAGGGGTTGAAATGAATCCCCTCCAAAAAGGTATGTTGGAATCCTAACCTCCAATACCCCAAAATGTGATTGTATTTGGTGATAAGGTCTTTATAGAAGTAATGAAGTTAAAAAGAAGTCATTAGGGTGGGTCTTAATCTAGTTGATTGGTGTCTTTTTATTTTTTTTAAAGATTTTATTTATTTATTTGACAGAGAGATAGAGTACGCACAAGTAGGCAGACTGGCAGGCAGAGGGTGAAGGAGAAGCAGGCTCCCCGCTGAGCAGAGAGCACCATGTGGGGCTTGATTCCAGGACCGGGACCATGACCTGAGCCTAAGGCAGATGCTTAACAGACTGAGCCACCCAGGCGCTCGACTGGTGTCTTTTTAAAAAGGAGAAATTTAGACATAGAGAGAGAGACATACACACACAGAGGAAAGATGAGGTGAAGTATGAAGACACAGGGAGAATGTCATCTATAAGCCAAGCAACACCTGAAACTAATGGAAACTACAAGAGAGGAACAGAACAGATTCTCCCTCACAGGTTTCAGAAGGAACTAATCCTGTTGAAATCTTGAGTTTGGAACTTTCTAGCCTCCAGAACTTTGAATAATAAATTTCTGTTCTTCCAAGCCAGCCAGTTTGTCATGGCAGCCCTAGGAAACTAATAAAGATACATCATTAATTCCTTTCTTATCTTATATTCTCATGCACTTGAGTAATAGTAATATTATACCCTAATTAAGGGAAATATTGGATGAAGTTTTCTATCTTTACTAAATATGACAGGTATACTTACTAAAGTGAGGCCATAAATTAAAAAATATCCTGGACCCAGTCACTCTCTTTGGAATTGCTTTTACTTTATAGGTTTTGTTTACTCACTTCATCTCATAAATGCTCTTGATGATAGTATTTTTTTCATTCAACTATTTTGCTCCTTTAAAATAAGAAATCCTTTCCTACTAAATAATAAGATACAATGAAAAAAATTTGCTTGCATTTTCCCCCTTATCTTGTAAATCTGTGAAAGAAAACATACTTTTGAAATAAATATTATCATCAACTGATTTGAAAAAGGAATACAGAAAAAGTATAAACGAAAAAGAAACTGTGTGAAGACAGAATTTTACTCTGAAAATAAGTTTGAGGACTCATCTAAAAGAGCAATTAGGAGAAAGGAATGATAAGTTAGTATGATGCTTCTGGGACTCTTTCTGAAATTAGAAATTCAAAAGGTGGAAGAGGATAGATCTGAAAAATGTCTGAACTGCTCTACTCTTTCCTGCCAAAAACAAGGAACTGTCAAAGACTCAGAGTTTGGGGACAAATAAGTGGAGATCTGTTACTATTGAATGGGGATATGTAACAGTTAATTTTATGTGTAACTTGACTGATCATTATTCCTGGGTGTATCTGTGAGTGCGTTTCTGTAGAAAATGAACATCTGAATCAGACTGAATAAAGCATATTGCCTTTCCTCATGTGACAGGCTTCATTCAGTTCACTGCATAAAAGGCTGCATAAGAAAGACATTATTGGTCTTGTCCCTTTGGACTCAGATTGAGACTGGGACTGGAACTTACACCATCAGCTTCCTGGTTTTCAGGCCTTTGGACCCATACTGAAACTATCCCACTGGCTCTCATGATCTCCAGTTTCACAGTGGAGATGCTGGACTTCTCAGATTCTGTAATTGCATGACCCAGTTCCTTATAGTAAATCGATCAATCTCTGTCTCTCTTTCTCTCCCTCTCCGGATAGATATATGGACATAGATATAGATATTTTTCAGAATAACAATGTCTCACTAGGGAAGACTAAAGGGTTATATCCTACTGGCTCTGTTTCTCTGAAGAAACCAGATTAATACAGGATGTGAATTTCAAGAATTATGCAAAAGGAGGAAGATGATAAACTGGCTTCCCAAATATGCTCTTAATATCCTGTGGGTACTCCCATGTTTATGTTAAGATACTAGATTCCAATTGCTCATGCAGTATCTTGTTAACTAGGGTCTTGAATGATAGACAGTTATCTTGTCTCTTGTTGTACAAGTGACTTGTTTGGCTAACTGCATTGCTTAGTAAGTTGTTACTGAGTAAACCAATGAATGAGCAAATAACTCCAGGTGTGGGGTGCCTGGCTGGTTCAGTCAGAAGAGCATGCAGCTCTTAATCTCAGGGTATTACCCCAAACATGAGTTCGGGCCCCACAATGGGTGTAGAGATTACTAAAAAAAAAAAAAAAAAATGACTGCAGGTGTATACATTTCAAGTAGGCTAAATGTTAGCAAGCTGATGTCATCTGATCATTTTATTTTTGGTAGATGATAGATGATAATCAATCTCTGTCTCTCTGTCAATCAACAGACGATAATTTTCCTTCCTTTAAGAACTATCAGTCTGACTCTGCATAAATATAAATTAACTTGATGTTTAGTGAAGAGGTAGAAAAAATATTAATTGTAGCTTAGATTCCTCTAAACCATATCTTGTTCTACAGCACACAAAATCCAAATCAAACCTTTTTCTCCCTAAGAGTAATCTATATGACAAAGAATCTGAGCTTTACTGGATTCTAATCATGTATAAAACATTGGTCTTGTCATAAAATGTCTTAAAACTATCTGAGATTCAACTAAATGGCTAAATCTCAAATAGCACAGGCCTTTGGGTAGTTGTGAATAAAGAATGATAAGTTTAGCCATATTAAATTCAGAAAAAATAAAAGCCCTCAATACAGTCAAATGGAAAAAATAATGTACTTGCCATTTTGTCTGTGTAACTTTTCTATAAAGGACAGTTGCAAGTGACTTGAGCTAGGTGAGTATCGTTTTTAATCACTTTTCTTTTTATATGTTTATCATGTATAAAGAACTATGAGAAATGCTCTACTTGCTGTAGTTCTATTTTTTTGTCTCTGAAAAACTGTAAGAAATTTATTCCCAATATTAAGCCAAAGTATTCCCAAACAATTTTAAAGTAGCGAATAAATATTTACATTCGAGCAGCAAATTTTTTGTTACTTTATGATCCTCAGAAATCTGAAAAACAAGACCAACCAATGATACATTTTTATACATGTAATTAAATTTAGGAAAAATAAATGATAAGCAGTGATTTGTGAAGTGAATGTTTACTTTGGTATATCTTTATCTTTGCAAGGTTATTACTAAAGAAATGACTTCATGTTCACCTTTAGCTGTAGTGCCTTCTCTAAGTTTTCAATCTTTCTTTCAGCTTTCCTCAGATTCCTCAGCTCTTCTGAGTCTCTGAAAGAGCTCTTTGGGGACAAAGACCTTGAACGTTTCACAGGTGGTTCCTCGAGAATAAAACAAGGACATGGTTGAACTAGTTGGAACACTGGATTATGAAAGACATGCAAAATTAAAGAACAAGTAATTTTGAATACTAATAATGAATTATAAAAAAAATCCTGCATGGAATACCAGAGAAATAACAAGCGGAATTACCACAGTGCTACCGCTAAAGGTTTCTCTGTGACTCGTTAATGAGAATATTCATTTACATTTACATTGTTTCTTTCAGAATAATGATGTCCCATTAGGGAAGACTAAAGGGTTATAGACTCAGAAATGCAAGAAACCTCATTACAAAGGAGGGGATAGAGGCTGGTCTAATTGCTCTATAAGGGTCCAAGGTTACACTTGATAGGACAACCAGAAACAAGAGGGAAAGGATTTTTTTCCCTTTGAAATAGTTTAACACACTGTGAAGTTGAAGGAACAATATGCTTGAGGAATATAAATACAACAGACAGTAGATCTTCTACCATAATGACCATATGGTCATTAACTATAATGTGGCTAACTAGAGACAAGAATGTGTGTTTATATTATGTACAGCTTCATATACCAATCTGGAGAAGGAATATGTGAAAGCAACTATTAAGCTGGGCAACATATTGTTCATACTTACTGCATATCCTTAAGAAAAAGAAAGGAAATTTCGTTCCAAATATCCCTCTCATTTTCTTGACTTTTGTTAAAAGCAATGAAACATCAAAGCGCTACATTTTTTAACTTCAGCAATGTAGCAAGTAACCAAATTAGGCACTATATATAATGTATCTCAATTTCAGGAATGTTTTCTTTCATTTAAATAAAGCTCAGTACTCTGAAACTACTCCAAAATGGCAAGAAATGTATAATGCAGTTATGTTTAAATAAATAAATACATATATAAAGCTCATTCTTCTGAAAATTACTAATAATATTAGAGGGAGTAAATAAGACTATAATAGAAACGGGTCTATTTTTAAATACTTCCTAGACTAAGATAGTTCTACTCATAGGAAAAAAATGGAAAGAACTAAAAACAATTATCTTGAAAAATATAGTTTTCTGCTTGTAAAATCATTATTTTCTACTGCTGAAGTAACAAGTGTGAGAAAAATGAAGTTCCTCACTTTTCTATTTATCTAGAGATAACATATTGACAATGTTACATAATAACATATTGACAAAATGATATAAGATGTTTATTTTAGTCAGTGTTGACAGAAACTGTTGCAGCATAACAGGATTATATACTATGGTATATATACTGTAATACAAATATTACAAAAAGGAAATGCTAGACATTAATAAATGAAAAACATGCTATGGAAAATTTGCTTATTTTTCTCTATTGCTATACCTTTAAATCTGAAATTATATAATTGCATAAATTAATGTTAAATTCCACTTTATAGTTTATATCCACATGGGTAATATTTTAAATATCATATCTGAATGAAATAGAAACATTAAGACATATTTTTCTTTTAACAACTAATATTACTTTAAAATGATTTTTTACTTAGATTAACTTACCTATAGATTAGATATATGAGATACTTAGCCAAACTTTTTAAAATTTTTTAAATTCATTTAAATTAAGTTAATTAACATATAGTGAATTATTAGTTTCAGAGGTAGAGTTCAGTGATTCATCAGTCTTATATAACACCCAGTTTAGCAAAACTTTTTAACATAATAATGTTAACTTACTCCAAAACAGCTATACTACTACTAATCTATTTAATTAAATTAGAAATACATTATTTAGTCTTTAAAACAATTTTTTTTAAAGATTTTATTTATTTGTTTGAGAGGGAGAGAGAGAGAGAGAGAGAGTGTAAGAGCAAGGGGAGGGAGAAGCAGGGAACCAGACACGGAGCTCCATCCCAGGATCCCAGGATCATGACCTGAGCTGACTGCAGACGGATTAACCGACTGTGCCACCCAGGAGCCCCACACAACAATTTTTTATCAAGCATTCGGCACATAAATGTTCTTTTAAAGCTTCCAGGAAAAAAAAAGCTCCCAGAAATATAAGCAGAGAGGTAAATGCTCTTTCTTTTTAAACTTCATCACTGGCCTTGCCAGCTTCACCCTGACAAATTCACAAAATGACAAAATGTCCCTACCTTATGTTTTCTTTCAGTACTTGTCCAGAAGCTCTTCTCTGAGGAACCCTTGTTGGTAGATTTGCTCTCTGACAGTTTTTCATTTGCTATATTTAGTTTCCCCTGTAAATACTCAATTTCAGACTTCTGTGAGACCATTAAAGTTTCTAAGCTTGATAAAGATGGCCGTTGAGATACCTATTTAAAAAAAGTATATGTGCAAATATATATGCATGTTTGTATATTATTTCTATATGTGCAAATACTTATATATGATATTATTACATTATATAAATAATAAGTATTCAGAGAAGGAAAACTGCATTTCAATAATAAACTGTAAACTAGCATTAGCTAAACTCCCATCATCCTAACACAATGGCATTTTTCAATAAAATAACCAAGAGTTTATATAAATATTTTCATAAATAATATTACCATACAGAATTACAGGAGAAAAACATTACAGCATGGTTGCATGAAACATACCACTCACCTATAAATTAATTATTTCAAAAATGTGATTATACACATATGTATTTCCTAATGAAATACTCAATCTACCATTTGATCACAAAGAGTCATATAATACCACTGAATATAAACTTGGGAAAAGGAAACTAACAGCACTTTAAGTCTAATTATCTTCCAATGTATCATAATTTAATAACTCACAAAACTCTGATACTTTTAATGTCAATACAGTCCACTGTATTCTCTTTTGAAATTACATGTCAGATAATCTGCTAATGGTAAGCACCACATTATAGCGACAAAAAAAAAAAATCACAAAAAAATTAAGCATGTAGGATACCTTCAAGAAATGTTAGTTCGTAAAAACCAGCATTCTGTGAAATTCTATTACCATCTTAACCGAATAATTTTGAGGCCATTAAAATCTATGCATATATCGTATTTAAATTAACCACTCCACTTACAAAAAACAAAAACACTAAATCATAGTGAAAACAAAGTTTTTATTTTTTCCAGCGAAGAGAGTCAAAAGTCAAAATTATAATATTGGATATAGAAGCACTAGCCCTGAAAATAGTTTCATTTAAAATGTGGAAAACCCTATCTGTCCTATGTGATATTCCTAAGGGATATCAGAAGAAATATATATGTTTAATTTTTCTGAACCAACAATGGAAAATATTACCCTTTTCTGGTTTGAACTCTTTTTCCTTTTTTCTTTTAGGGAATAGGTAAAATTGCCCTAATTCTAACTTCTAGTTATTATGAGACAGGTCATCTTTGATTTATTTATATTATTATTATACTTTCATCTATTTAAATCATTTGATTAGTTTTCCAACCTTCATCCTATTATATTGCTAAATATTTTCCTCAGTATTGTTTATATTGTACCCTTACCACACTTACCATACATTAAATACTTACTTCATTACCTTTCTTTAACTATCAAATTAAAATACTTCAAGCACTTTTATTCCACTCTAAATGATTTTGCCCTATTCTTTCCTCCCACTTTTAATCACCATATGACCATTATTTATTTCATTTTTTCTTCCTATCATGTAAGCAAATTTATGATGTTTCTTTCCTTTGACTGGGCCACTAATCTGAACAGTTTTCAAGAGCCACCTGCTCTTATTCAGGTTCCTTTAAATAAAATTATTAAGAATATATTAATATTCCACCATTTACCAAAGAAATTTAAAATAAGTTGTTCAAGGTCAAACAAAAATTTAGAATAAAACAGAAATAACCTAACCAGTTTTATTGGTATATCCAATAAGCAGTCCCATATTCTTTAAATGAGTTTAAATAAGTGAATTTTCTAAGTTATCACTGGATTATAATGTAGTAGATAAGAATGTAAAAAATAGTAATATTCAATCAAGGAGCTGTAATGATAAATAAGTCAAATACTTGTGAAGACATTAAAAATGCTCCAACTGTGGATACTGTCATCATCAGAGTAAGGATTTTACATTTAGGGAGCAGTCCTTTAAAATTCTTCAACAAACAATAACAGAATTTCAAAAATAAAATACTATGAAAGCACTAATTAACTCAAATTCACATAGGCGCAGGGAAGATAAGTAAATAAAATGGGTTGTGTTTAGTATATTTTAAAATCACAGCTTTGGAATTCATTCAACAGAGACACTTTGTAGACATATTACACATGTACATAGATTATTTACGTCCACAAAAAAACTTATACATGCTCTCAGTGTTTTTAAAATCTGATCTTCTCCCTCTCTTGCCTTTTATCACTTTTGCAGGAGATATAGGCACAAGTATTTCATACTTCTCTTAATATGACCATGTTTAAAAGCATAGGTAAAATGAAATGTCAAGTGACACTCAGCCTCACCTAGGGGCATAAGGAGGGTTTTTGCGACAGTAGCTACTCAAGATCCAGCCAACTGTTTTCCTAGGCGAATGAATGTGGCCCACCACCGCTAGAATGACTGATTTTTCAAAAGTAAGGAATTAGGGCTTCTAAGGGAAATCTAATTTTAAAATGTTGGCCAGACTCCGTTTATGACTTCTGTATTTTGAGAACGTGGTTGTGGGAGTATAAACTGTTACAAATTTTCTAGGGAAATTTTGAAATATGTATCAAAGCACATAAAAATGTATCAAGCCTTTGGCTTAGCATTCTAGTCATGCTGAGGGTTGATACAGAAAGATATCCATGATAAACTGTTAAATTAGAAAAGCAGGTTACCAAAGAATATACTGTATAGAAACAGATTTTGCCAAACATGCATAGGAAAAACAACAACAACAACAAGCCCTAAAATGTTTTAGTGTCATTTCTCAGTGGAAAAATCATATGTGAATCATTTTCTTCATATTTATTTGATTTCCTTAAATTTTACAATGAACACGTCACTAAATGTTTTTCAAAATGTAATTTTTTTCTTCAAATAAAAGGAATAAAAGTTGATTATAAAATGTTCAGATTATATAGGAGAAATATAGATGAAAGTCTTTCCATAATCTCATCCCTTACAGTTTGCTAGTGATAACTTTGGGCTACATTTACCCAGACTTTAAAAAGGAAAGGAAAACCACTATAATTCTGCCCTTCAATCTTCCTTTCAAAATTAATAGACTTAAATTTTTAGAACAGTTTTATACTTACAGAAAATCTAAGCAGATGCTGTAGAGTCCTATACCTCCCACCCCCACCCATTCAGGTTACCCTATTATCAACATCTAAAATTAATATGGTACATTTGTTATAAGTAATGAACCAATATTCATACATTATTTTTAACTAAAGTTCATAATGTATTCAAATCTCCAAAGTTTTTATGTAATGTCCTGTTCCAGGATCCCATCCACAATACCACATTACATTTACTTATCATGCCAGAAACTCTTTGCTGTGACAGTTTCTCAGACTTTACTTACTTTTGGTAACATTGATAGTTTTGATGAGTAAATGATAATCAGGTGCACTGTAGGATGCCTCTCTATTGGAATTTGTCTGAGTTTTTCTCATGATTAGACTGGGGTTATGAGTTTGGGGGAGGAAGATCACAGAAGCAAAGGGCCATTTTCATTACATCAAGGGTACATAGTATCAACGTGGTTTAACTCTTGACATTGACCTAGATCACCTGGATAAAGTCGTGTTTGTCAGGTCACTCCACTGTCCCCCATCCATACTATACTCAATGTGCTTTGTAAACTATGTATAACATATATGAGAAAAATGTATATCTTTACTTGTCATTATCCTTTCAAGTGCTGCTTTGAAGGTTTAGCATAATCAAGACAACCAGTACCCCTGTCTGGGGAAGTTCATTTTATCTATTGCCCTTAAAACCCTAGAATCTTTGAAAAGTTTAATTTTCTTACTAAGAATTATTAGTATCCCATTAATAATTTTCTCCTCTAATATCAAAAATCATTATTCACCTTTATAGTTTACAGTCTTAAAAGACAATGAAGTACCGGTATGGTGCTAGACCATAGTTAATCTTGATGAGAAGTGATCAATGGAGTATGTGTCCAAATGCCTCCAATTGAAACTATCTCTTTAAATTGACCATAATTAATATATAACTTCTTTTTCACATTGACCCACAGAGATAATTTTGATCAAAAAGTCCTGTAGAAGATGTAAAGTAGAAGGGGGGGGGAATCATTCATTAAGTGCTGTACAAATTACTATTAAGAATTATATAAATGGGGGCGCCTGGGTGGCTCAGTCGTTAAGCGTCTGCCTTCAGCTCAGGTCATGATCCCAGGGTCCCGGGATTGAGCCCCACGTCGGGCTCGCTGCTCTGTGGGAAGCCTGCTTCTCCCTCTCCCATTCCCCCTGCTTGTGTTCCCTCTCTCACTGTGTCTCTCTCTGTCAAATGAATAAATAAAATCTTTAAAACAAAAAAGAATTATATAAAATGAAATAATCTAGTCACGTTGTATTAACTTCAAGCAACATTGTATAGCATTATACATTAGAGGCTGAGTGAATAATACCTAATAAATAGAAAAGTGTTTCAAAGTTGTAACAATCACAAAGAATTGCAAGTTAAACTGTTTTCCTTACTGGTAAGTTTTAATTAAACATATCCTTTTGTTTCCTACTATATTAAAATAATAGTAACTATCATTTAGTGAAAAAATATTGAGGTCCTAGCTGAAGATAAGCATTTCATATATATTATCTTACTTAAGAAATGTATAAATTCCACACCTGTCAATACATAATGTAGCCTACTGCAAAACAAAAACATTTAAAAAGGCATGATACCACAGGAAAAAAAATAATTTCTCCTAAAATAAGGTCACTGAAAATTAAATATATATTAAACATCCATGTATGCTTAAAATCTGTAATGTGTGTGTGTAGATAAAACATCTAACCTATATACATATGTATCAGAGAAAATAACATCTTGAATAACTGTTCTCTGAAAATGAACTCAAATCCTCTTGGAAGAAGACATAAAAATAAGTATAAAGAAGTATATACTTCTTTTATAAGAAGTATAAAAATATATAATATATGTTAAAGTGTGTGTGTATACATACATATATATATATACACACATAAAATTTTCTTCTCATGAAATATCTGAATCTCTACAAAAACTTGCCATTTTATTTAAAATTGATTTTAGAAATGGGAAAATACATCTACTGCCAATTTATAAAACATTGTTAGCTGAATCATCCACCACCTGAAAATGGGTAAGTTTAATAATAG